CCGCTTCTTTCTTAAAAGTTCTCTTACATTCTTCGCACTCCATATATAGACTAACATATTTAAGTGCGCTGTTGCCCTCAACCACACTTGGAGTGGGGGTCGTCCGTAGGTGGATTTTTGACACGGGTCTTGCCCGTGTTGAGATTGCGCTGGAACCCCCATTCCCTATACTACTGGGCCGAAATAGTTAGATGATAATACCAAGCAGATTGCACATATAAATTGAATACGCAGGAGGCGAATTTAGTATCTATAGCCTTTTAAATCCGCAACTTAGCCTTTCTTTTGGGCATCAATTTTGCAACTGCTATGGCGTTTTAGCGGAGCACTACACTTAAGAAAAAATGGTAAACCTTCGAGTTTGATATTTCATGGCTTGGCTGATGTCACTTTCGTCCATCTGTAAGTACTCGTACGTACGTACGTACGTCCGTGTACACGACACAGAATTTCCGCTTGATGTCAAAACAAAACTACTCACAAATGCGGCTCTCATATGCACATGAAGAATCGCTTCAGGACAAGTTATAGACCAAAAACAATTTAAAAAAACCCTTTCATTTAGTCAAAAATGGATCAAGAACTGTTCTTCAAGAATTCAGGTAAATGTTTTTTTAGCAAACAATCGTATATGTATATATTTTGACAAGCATTTTTCTCGACGAATCGGACAAAACAAAGACTTTCTCTCTAAACTTTTCATATTCCTATAGTTAAGTTTAATTTATTTTATTGCTGGAGGAAATATAACACGGAGAGCATTTAGCTTTGTAAATTTTTAACAATATTCGGTTGTTTTTAACCAACTGTATGTTTTTCGTTCAGGAAAAATGCAGCTTTGCTCGCCTCCTATCGCGGGGTCCCGTCGGCACTACAAAGAAGACTTTCATTCAATAATTTTATATCTTTCTACAGATAATTTATTTAATTATGGAATGAAATATAAATTTGCACCAAATATTCAACTGTTTATATTAAGCTGTTTGAGCAAGTATGATTATAGAAATGAGCTTAAATTTGTGTTGTTGAGAGATGTTATTGTATAAACCTAGACTTTCACTTTAAAAAGCTAAAAACTATTTAAAAACATTTACTAACGCCAATTTACTGACAAGAAATTTGTTGAGTTTTCACGAGGACTTTTTAGACAAGATGGCGGAACCACGTTTATTCTTATTACTATTGACACGTGATAACACAGGTATCCCAATACTCTACAAAATTAGTCATTTTGTATTTTGCATTGCCTTTTGCATTATTTTCTACTWTGTCTCAGTTGTTCTTGTCAAGTTTAACCGAATGTAAACTTTGTCTCGTTCTGTAAAAGACTAATTAAGTAAGCTTATTTTCTGCTCACCTCAACCAGTTCTCAAGTCKGTTTTTTAGTCTTGATTTGTCCTTAATCTCCAGATTTTCGATTTCAATGAAAGACATCTGAGGTGAATTTCACTAAACTTGATATTGTATTGGATTATTTGTAGTTAKCTTTCGTTTTTTTAAGTAAAAGAGATTCAAAGCCTAAAACTGTCGGCCTTAGAAAACTTTGTCGAAGAATTTTCCAAGAACAAAACTAGCCCCTGGGGGTGGTGGTGAGTTGTGTTCAAAATTCCTAAGTGGTAGATTATACTCGAGCAAAAGAAACAAACAAACAAACAAACAAAACCAACCAAACAAACAAACAACAACAACAACAAAAACAACAACAACAACAACAACAAAAAAAACAAAAACAAAAACAAAAAAAAAAAAAACAACAAAAAAAACAAAAAAACAAAAAAACCCCGATTTTTTCCCGCGATCTTATTTTTTACCTTTCAGTTTCATTCAAATTTTTCTCCCTGTGACTTCTGTATCGGGAGCTCCGCTTTTAGGCAGTGCCTAAATATATATATTACCTACATCAACAAGAGTAAGAATCCCGAAGCAATCCATCGGTTGTCCTGTCCTGAAATGAGAGGCTGGAAACGTTAGAGACTTTCCCTCCCTCCTGGGCAAAGTAATTCCGTCCCGCGCTATGATCGGTTAATTTGCCGGTCAAATGTCTCAACTTTGTTTCTCCGCCTCTTTTTTATCTCAATACCTTGCCATATATCTTTTTACCCTCGTTTGCTCGGTCCGTACCATCGGTCATAGTATGGACCTCGCCCCCCCCCCCCCCCCCCCCCCCTTTTCATGGCCCAAGCACGTAGTGTAAAATAACTTGGTCTAAGTTATGGTACGGACCTCGCACTCGGTTAATGAATTATTTGTAAGTTATTTGAAGGCCGTAACTTATGCAAAACAAGAGTAATAATGTGTTATTTCGTTCACCTAATTCTTCGCTTATCCAAGAAGTTAGTAGGAATACCACACTCACTACACTCAAAAACTGTATTCTCCACACACGAATAGCCCTGACCATTCCTTTTGTTATTTTATATTTTATTTCTCTAAGTCGTCGAAACATTTATAATAAATATGCAAATTTTCGCCATCCAGCTTTTTTACATTTTATTGGTCATTTCATATTATTTTAAATAGAGCTGAAGTTCTCAACCACATTTGCTATCCATTGCTACCCTTTTTTTTACACTAGTCGATAACTACTGACAGAATTTTTGACGTATTAATAAATAAATGCATAATAATCTATAATTAACACAAGTTCGTTTTCTTGCTGAAGCTGAAGTTCTCAACCACATTTGCTATCCATTGTCTTCGTTCTCATTCATCCAGGGTCGTTTTAAGATGACATCAACTGGTACTTATAAAGTCATTGGAGTCACTTATTGTTCAAGTAGCACCGCTCTTTCATTCTCCATGATTATTGTACAAGATGTAGTAAATTCCACACAGCATCACGGTCACTGTATTGAAGGGTTTTTCAACATGTACAGCGGACGCCTTTCCTCTTGCATGCGCAGAGACCATCAAAGTTGCATTTACCAAAGTCACCGAGGTTGCATTGGTAAATGAAACGACGATAGGTACTTTAAAAAAGCAAAGAAACAACACATACGATATTTTTTCAAATATTTCATGACATGAAGATTACAATCAATATAATCTCACTTACATTTTTCCTGACAGTACATTCCCGTAAATCCAGTCCCTCGGCAATCACAGCGCATTCTCACCAGAAAATCAAGACATTTCCCGCCATTCTTACACGCCTTGCTATGTTTTCCAACGCATGCGCCCTGGCAGTTAGAAGTGGTTCCTGAGGAGCTCTTGTATTTTGCTTTTCGTAATTTTTTATCTCCGTTGCTATAGCGAACTCGTGCGATGCAGCCTGTAAATCTGTGAAAACAATTAAGGAATGTCTTATCGAGTTGACAGGATTTTCAGTTCATTATAACAGTCTAGCGCTAATATTTTACAACATTGAAGAGTACTTGGTAACAAGATTTGCCTGCTATCTAGATAATTCCATTCAGTACCATTGTAATAACAATACGATCCGTGGGACAATTGAGAAACTACTCTATTGAAAGGCAAGTAAGACAGAGTGGTTAAGTCGGTGGATGCATTAAAGACTAAGTATACTTTTTGAATGAGCTTTTAAAATGACTAACATATATGTTTTCGAAAAGAGCAAAATAACATAACTAACCCGTGGTACTGCGCCTCATGGAAGATGTTAGGGTTGGACCAGTRCCCAATAGGTTTCGAGAGCAAAGGGATCCCGCCAAGGTAAAGACTGCTCTTACTTGGTTTAGGTTTTACGGGAGACTCTAATGTTTCCTCGCATAACAAAGATTCTGATCTAATTCCATCGATAGAAATAGTCGTCATCGAGAAGTTACGTTCGACGTTCAAACGATGCCATTTGAAATCAGTAAAGTTTCCGTTTAAATGTGTAATCGCTTGGTCACAAGTTCCCAATCTCAGTCTAAGCCGTGCTATTCCATTCACTAAGAAAACATCAATCCAATCTCTTCCTTCGCCGTCGTCTTGGTAGAGAATGAGAGCGTTGCGTTTCTTTGTTTGAAAATATAAGTCAATGGCGCCGTTAGCAGAAACGTCCCAAGGTCTAAACTCCGCAAACGGGAGGTTACTTTCTTTAAATTTCATGCCAATATCAGCCCAGCCTGTTGCAATAACACAAAGCAAAGCTGCGAGGAGTAGATAAGCCATTCAGGCAGGAATAAAGAAAAAAAAAAAAATGTAAAGAGATTAGATGCTAGTTCACGAAGGAGAAGACGAATTGAACTCACAACCAAGCATCACATATGTGAGTCAAGTCACAAAGTGCATGGCTGTGATTAATAAGAGAAAGGTTTGTTTTTATCTTCCATCCTCMCAAACCACAAAGGTGATACTGTACCTTACTGAGTTTGCTTACTGGGCAAGCTTGACACGCGATATCTTCAATAAAAGCTTAATTTCTGCTCTTTGGGAAAATATAGTAGGTAATTGCTATTGTTCTGATCTTTATGATAATGTGATTGATAATTTAAGACGAACCATAAAAGTTTAAAGTTGTACAGTTGTACCTCAGTAGTGTGCTTCTGTTTACAATATTGTTGGATATCTATATTATTGAACCTACCCTGATTCTGTTTTGTTTTGGAGTTCCTTTTTCTCAGTCTTATTTCTTTTTAAAGAACTTCAAAGGTCTTCCAGGTGCACAAAACAATCGCAATACGTCCTATAATAAAAACTCCTTCAATCAATGGTTGTAATAATAAATGAGATACGCACAGAATACCCAAYAAAATACTACAAAAAGAACGAAGGAATTTTCATTCGTATTAAACCGAACTCTGAAAATAGGAAACGTTTTCTTCCAGTAAAGGCACACATAAATTCGAAGCACGTTTACTCCATTTATTTTGTAGATTTCACGGTTTAGTTGATTCAATTTATTAATGAAAAATGATTTTTGTCATTGATTTAAAAAAAATTGAATATGACAATATATAAATGATTAAATGGAATGCCGCATCTGCATGCCTCATTAAATGAAAACTCTCCTATAGAACGTTGTTCCTACTGATATCCAAAACACTTTTAAGCCATATTGAAATGTACCGCGGTAAAAGGCCCAGAGAAATAAATGCAAGAATTTTCCAACTTAGTTTTATAAAGCTTTTCGTTTACAGTGCGACGATCGAAAAGGTTTCGTGAGGTGAACGAATTTCTGTCCCTCATATCTATGTTTCCTTCAACCTCAACACGTGCACGTTCATTAAAAATTTGGGATGTTTTATGTGCCTCAAAAACCCTCTCAAAGAGCTCACATATAGTGAAGTTGTTGGAGATGTTGTCGAAAGATAAACGATAGCGTAAGATAAGCGAATATCAATGACGAGACAGCTGCGTATAATATTAAAACGTTTTGAAACACTCTCACTGTCGAATGAAGAATATTAGTATCTTTACACGCGAATAATAATAATAATAATAATAAAATATGCGTCGTATTATTTTGCTATATTAACTTAAAGGTGAATATAACGCGTGCACGCGCAGGCTCGCTTGTCGTTGTGAGCTACTTGCAGAGATAAATATAATGCGCAAACTCGCGTCTCGGTATATATTCCCCGATATTCAATTTCGCCTTGGACGAATAATTGTTAAATGCTCGCATTCCCCAGTTTCAAGCTTCAAGAATAAATAATAATTTTGATTTACATCCATATTTTATTTTCTATTATTAACGAGCAAAGGACTTAAAGAAATGATACATGACGTGAAAAAATTAGGCGGTGAAATTGTTACAAAGATCGAGTCAAACATTTGTTTTGAAAAATTGTCTGAGTATATATATTGTATTGACTTTCCATCATCATTTTCATCCTTCTCTTTTAATCAAAATCGATAGAAAAAGTTACTGAGCTACGAGCTACTACATCCCTGTAAGCATTCTTGATATCCCTGCAGTTATCATTGGGAAAGCTAGGCTATCCAGTTATCCTTTTTTTTAACCTGAGCTATATGGAACACTTCTTCCAATTCATTAGAGAAGCCAAGCAACATCCAAACATTTAAAATTGACCTAAAAACTCTGCATTTTTTAAAACTTTGAGTTCTGCATATTATTGGTATCAGTTATTTATATTGATTTTCCGCGATTATCTCTTAAAGTGCTACTACGACGAAAATCGCTCAAACTTGGATTCAGCTGAAACTTCCTAAAAATACTCTTTAAAGGTCCAATAATCACTGTATGAAGTCATACACTCAACATCAAACATTGCTACATATATTTCTTTGTATATAAATCCTTAATTTATTTTATTCCTATGAAGCCCAAADGGTGGCTAATGTGCTTATTTCACATTACTTGTGACTATAATTTATATTTTGGGGTGTTTGGGTATTTCTTTCTCCCTTTACTACTGATATTTTGATCATAAACTACAAAGAAAGGTATGGAGCGATGTTCGATGTTGAGTGTATGACGTCACAGACTCCAAAAAATAATCGTAAAAATATACTTTCGTCCTGAATATCGAGAAAACACTTCATACAGTGATTATTGGACCTTTAAAGAGTATTCTTAGGAAGTTTCAGCTAAATCCAAGTTTGAGCGATTTTCGTCGTAGTAGCACTTTAATAGTCAATATTGAAATAACACAAGAAATTTAAAATAAAATAAAATAAAAAACAAATACCCATCTACCAATCTATTTATTCGATTTAATTATCCTTCCAGTCATTTACTACGACGTCTTTTTGTTTTTAACGTTTTTTAAAATTAAATTAAAATAAAAAATTAAAGTTAAAATTAAATTAAAAATAAAAAATATATTAAACAAAAAAATTAAAAATAAAAAATATATTAATTCAATTAATTAAAATTAATTTAATCAATTAAAATAAATTAAAATTTAAAAACCAATTAAAATTAAAATTAAAATTTCTTAATAGCCCCAAGTATGATTTTTGAACAGAAGACGGACGACATCTTTTTGCTCGTAACGTTTTTTAAAATTAAATTAAATTTAAATTAAAAGTTAATTTAATTAACTCAATTAATCAAAATTAACGAAAATTTTTAAAAATTGAGCTTTCTTAATAGCCTTAATAATTATTTTTTGAACACGGTGGACAACACAACTGTGACCCAGCAAATATATTCCTTACATTCCTTACCGCACTTGAAATCATTTTCATCTTTAACTAGATTATTTCGTAGACAATAATTTTTGACATTCTACCATGCATGACCTAAACAATACAACATTATTATTTTTATTTTCCACTTCCTCAAAGTTTACCGGTTTCTTTTAGTGTGCATTACCACTCTTTTCGCTGTTGCGCGCTGTCCATCGAGACAACAATCGCAACAGCGGATCCCGGAATAGGGCAATGAACTGCCGCCAATCAGAGAATATAAAGGTACCAAACAATTTATTTGATTGGCGGAAGTGTAAAGTCCAATTAAACTGTCGGGACTGTTATCACGATCAGCGCATAGCAATGAAAAGAGTAGTAATGAACTCATACTAATTTTCATTATGTCGGTTCTTTTCCTAAAATTTTCTTGAATTTTCTTCATAATGAAGATATAATCCCAATTGATAAAATAAAGAAAATGTCTGAGATTATCAACCAAGATCTACAAATGTCACTCATGTGTTGATAGCCATGCCAAGTACAGTCGCAGTAGCAACTGCCCAGAGATCCATGCAACGGCCATGGTGTACTCCAATATTCTTTATTCGAGAATTAATGGCGGAAACTTCTCTCTCTTTTTGTAAAAGGGGGATCTTGTTTGGGTCTTTTACTTTGTAGGTAATCTTCTTTGTTGTAAGTGATTTTGTAGTTGGTGGCTTGGTTGATCTGTTCTTGATTACTATGGCAACAAAGCATAAAATAATTAAGTCACAAAGCACTCTAATTGACCAAATTGTCATTTTGTATGATATTAATATCTCATGCACGTCATTTCTCTTTCCTGCGCTAGGAAAAAAATGCATTTTTATGAAAAAAAAAAAAAAAAAAAANAATTTCAATTCTTTTTTTTTTAGTTATTTAAGTCCCTTGGGCTCGGTTGTATGTTATCAAGTAGAATTGATATCAAAAATAATGAAAAAATATCGTACACGTGACGTTTGCAACTCTGTCACCCAATATGGGAGAGCAGAATCAACCATAAAGAAAAATCCTTGTAAGGGCTCCTACACACGTGACCTCTTAAAGTCACCCAATATATTTGGGTTCGGCGATGTGTGTAAGCATGCAGAATTTTTATTAGAAGAAAAAAATAAAACACCATGAAAAAAACTACATGATAGGGCTCGTACGCGCGACGAATGTTGGTATATCTCTATTCTCTTTCCTTACCTCTTGCACAACGTTTCCCTTGGTAACCAGTCCCTTCGCAGTTACACCAGGCTGTCAATATACGATCAACACATCTGCCACCATGTCTACATTTCAGTGACTGGCAAGGATTGCTACATCCACGTTCAGTCCCAACTGTRGCTCGCAAATGAGGTCTGGTAATGACTCCATCTTCAACGTACTGAATGTCTTTGATACACCCTTGGAATCTAATGAATTGATGATATCATTGGTCACTTGATCGACACTACGATTACAGAGAAATAATCTTACCTAATTAAGACGAGAAAGGGACGTTAACATGCCAAACGATCATTGTGTTTGTTATGGATGATAATGAATAGATCAGTCTCTTTCACTTTTGGCGCAATGTTTTTATTTATTTCACACTACTTGTGTACCATGGATACAAATCAAACAAACGAATCTTATTCTTAAGAGAATGACACGTTAAAATAGGAAAACAATAGTCAAACATTATCACCAAGGTAAAAAGAGGTCTAATTTTGGGACTCTGTGTAATGAGAGAGGGCACAATTAATTGTATTTATCTAGAATGAGACGTAAAGTGTAATGAAATCTGCTTTGCAAGGATCAAGTTATAAATACATTGAATTCAAAAAATGTTGTCGTCGACCAACTCAAGCCTACGCGACTGGACCAAAAGGAACTCTGGGTAGCAATCATTGAAGCCGAGTTGACTCCATAATTTTATCTGACTAGTTATACCTGGTTTACAGTCCTTCATAGGCGAGCGGGAAGTGTTGAAGGAGATGCTTTTTAAATGCCTTCATTTTTTAGGGATTGTGAACTGAAATTATAACTTCTTTGTTTTTCTTTTCCTAAACCCGAAGACATGCCATTGATGAATTGTTTCTCGCCATTATTATCTTATTTCTAGCGGGAGCAATTAATTCAGAACGAATATTTAGCGGCTTCAGTGATTTTTACCCATATTCCTTTCGGTCCAGTCGCGCAGGCTTGAGTTGGTCGACGACAACGTTTTTTGAATTGACTGTATAGTGACTGAGTCTGCGCTTCGCATAGCTATATGATCAAATGTCTACCTTTTGCATTCATCAAGATAACCCGTTATCTAAAAGTTAAATTGTTAATCGAGACTGTGTAAACTGGCCACATCATGCTATGCATACTAAACTAGATAATTCTCGTGTGTTCACGAAAAAACATCCATCCGCTCTCAAAAGGAAAAAAAAAAAAAACATTTACTAATTATTACCTCAAAATCTTCTGATATAAGATTTATTAAGCTTGATGGCAATACTAAGGTAAAAAAAAAACTCACAATGGCAATATAGTTTCCCAATTCAGCGTGACAAACCTCCAAAGGATTCATTTTCTTTTSTTTTTACTCTTCGAAAACTTCATAAGCATCCCAAAGGATACGAAAGGAATAACGATGATATCCCGACGAGTTTCAAAACAATAGCTGTTCATTCCCCTAGAGGTTTGTCACGTTCAATTGGGAGAACATTGTCACACCACAAATAAGGTCTATTAATCTACAATTGGAACACGATCATCTCTACTTTAGAAAGAATACCAAGAAATGGAAAAATTCACTACTTACACATTATTTATTGATTGCCACAGACTGCTAGGGAAAGTCCAACTATTAGAAGACTCTCTTACGAAAATCGAAAGGTGGCCAGTGTACAAAGCAGTCATTGAATCCAACTGAGAAGAGCACTGGATTGGCTCGGCTGCGATGCTGTCGACACTTAGCGTAGTGTTTTTCTTTTCTTTTCGAATTACCAATTTGTGCCACTTCAAATCATTGAAACTACCATTAATGACTCTTTTTTCTATATTGCAATATCCGACTTGCATCCGCATTCGGATTTTGCCTCCAACGAGGAAGACGTCAAAAAATTCTCCTTTTCCACCATCATCTTCATATACCACCATTGCGTTCTTCATTCCTGTTCTGAACCAGACTTCAAGAGCGCCATTATTTATCAAACTCCAGCCAGGATCGTATACTGAGTAGCTGAGCGGCTTGTTGTATTTGAGAGTCGAATTGGGACAATTGAAGCAGTCATCGACGAAGCTAATCGTTTGCTTTGCAAATGTCAACACAAGAACAAAAATGAAAAACGTATTAGGCATATTTAGAAGAATATAATAATGTTAACTGATTAAGTGTTTAGAAAAGCGTTTGAGAGAGTGTGGCTGTCAGGGTGCGGTGAAGTATGCCCTCATCGTGAAATAGTCTGACTTCAGAATGGCTTATCTGAACATCACTAGCAGATGTCATATTCAATGTATATGGTGTCCCGGTAGCTCAATGGAAGATGGAAGCTGTAGATAGACTATAGAAACTGAATAAAAGGTCAAAAAAACATTTCCGTTGATCACTTGTTGAAAGATTTCTAGGATACCCCCAGTTTTGAAATGCTCTCGGTTTTCATTCMTCAGCAATAGCACTTTACGAAAGGTCTATGAACCGAAATCTTTTCCATTTACAATATATGCGTTTTTAGTTTGAGAATCAACGAGTTAAAATGTGAATTACATTAGAGAATAACAAGAATATTGCTTTATGTGGGTGATCGCAGACCATTGTCCAGTAACTTTAAAAGTGTTGCTGACTGACCGAGGGCACGGAGCAAGACTTTTAACACATGTTTTATATGAAATGTGTGTTACAACTGAATACATCAAAGGGTGAAAGCCATTGGTAAATGGTCGAAACTTCGAGAAAACAGTAATTAAATCAGAGACAAATAAATATTAATTATAAATGGTTCCTGATGGCAATTTTAAGATATTTGCATTAGAAGATAATTATGATGATATAATGATGTGCCCTTTCTATTGATGAATATAGTCAAATGTGCTTTGCATTGAGTTGTGAACGTAAGATATTGCTTTTTATGGTTCTTTTACGTGCCTCCGATATTGGTTAGTATCGCGATTCTCCTGCAAGCTTGATCGAGAGAGAGAGAGCCGTATAACGTGGTATTGTTGGCTCAGGTCATTGCGGGCGATTGGCTCATAGCATTTGATTGACGGCGAAAATAGCACTTTTKCGTATCCACGTCTCTTCTCTGGATGCAACTCTTCTCTGACGTATACAAAGACTCGTGCGAAGAAAACGATAGTCCATTTCGATTTGATTTTCATGGTTCCCAATATGGGGGACATTACAGCCATTTTCAATCACACGCGCCGCTCTAGCGATTTGTCGAAGTCTCTTGGTTCGTTAGATGTATTTTATTATGAAATCATGTTGCACGCATCGTTGTGCTCACTTCGAGTCATGGCTTGCCTAGAATAA